CCCAAGGCCACCACTTCCCCCTCCCCATGCTCTCCCTCCCCACGCTCCCCCTCACCCGCCCCTACCCCGCTCTTTGGCCAACGTTTTGGGAGAGTGGGAGGGTGCTGTTGTTCACTTCAATTGCAGCTTGTCTACGTAGCAATGTGTCAGGGCGGGACAAATTGGGACAATAGTCATACGAGGTAGTCGACGACCGGATATGGCCGACATTACGGCCAGGTACAAGTGACATCAACCTTCAGCAAAGTACAAGTGTAACCACATGCCCTTACGCTCTGTTGCTTACTTATCGGCCAGCCAGCGGCAGTCGTCGGTGGCTATGGCGGTGGCTATGGCTATGGCTATGGCTATGGAGGACGAGCCATCGTCTATCGTCACGTGAACGGAATCGTGATGACGTGTCAGCATGTCCATTCTCGCATTTTATTTTGTGATCTCATTTCCTCTGTATTCGAACTTCGAGAGGGACGTGTCATTCGAGACATCGTCTCTACTTCACCATTTCCTCGTTGGCTGTGGCAACTGAGCTAGGTAGGCCCGTCGGTATCCCGTCTCTATTCTCTCGAGAGGAGGAGGGGGGGGCTCGTTTAGTCTCACTGCTCGAGCCATCGTCCCTCCAGAGCGTTGTGGAACAATCGACGTACGTAATGGCTGGGTAGTGGAATCGTGTACATGCGTGTATGAAGGCATATACTACAACGACGACTTTTGCAAGTACATGCGTGTATGAAGGCATATACTACAACGACGACTTTTGCAAGTAATCTCTCTCTCTCTCTCTCTCTCTCTCTCTCTCTCTCGGCGTAATTGCAGTCAGAGGTGTGTCAGATGCGTCCGGATCTGGCGGGAGTTGCGGTCAGATGCATGCAGGAAAGCTGTACCGATAGCACAGCATGCGAATTGCGAAAGATGAATTGAGTAGACTCAGTAGAGTTTGAAGCCCATCGGGTGCTCTTCAGAGGATGAGTAAATTCTCTTTGTCGTTTTCTCTCTGCGATTCTTTCTTTCTTCCTTCCTTCTGTGCGCCTGTCCATCTTCCGCTCTACCGTCCCTAACTGATCTGCCGCTCTTCGCTGTCTTGTCTCTCTTGTCTGAAAAGAGTGTGCCGGTTTTTTTTTGTTTTTTTTTTCGGTTGTTGTTGTTGTAATACCAATTTCGTGTGTAGAGGGGTGTGTAGGGGTGTGTAAGTGAGAGACCGCGAAAGGGATTGCAATCGAGAGCAATCAAAAAGTCCTGGCCCTCGACCGCAACCTGTGAAGCACTTAGCAATTTTCGCTGTCCTTCTCCTCCTCCTCCTCCTCCTCCTCTCTCTCTCTCTCTCTCTCTCTCTTTGTCTCCCTGTTATCTTGTTCTTCTGTTTGTCTCTCTCGCTTTGTTATCCGCCTTTCTCTCTTTCTCTCTGGTGGTGCTGCTTGTCTCTCTCTGAGCAAGTCAAGTGTTTTAGTGGATTGACAGCGATGGGGACCGCTGTGAAAGTGATGACGGCAAAGGTTTTGTCGCCTAGTGAGCCGCTGCTATCTAGGTGTCGCGATCCCGACCGTAGGAACGAGGTCCGTTCGGTAGCCGTGTATCGGCGCGCAGTGGTTTATCCAGTTACACGTGTTTGCACGACATCGAGGGGTCAGGCCATCGTGCGGTTGAGCTTGTCATCTCCGTTCAATGGAGCGCGCCGATTCTGCACACGCGTCACGCGCAATTCCGCTCTTCGTCATCGTGGGAGAAAGGGTGAGAGAGAAGGTAAGAAGAGAGATGCTGAAGGTGTAGGTGGTTCCTGTGGACATCAGGATGATGGCGTTGTTTTCAGCACTTGTGTCGAAAGCAAGTCGTTCCACGTTGGACATAGGCTTGCATTTGTGGAACAGAAGAAGAACTGGGGGGAAGAGGAGGAGGAGGAGGAGGAGGAGGAAGAGGAGGAGGGGCTAACGAGGAAGAAGAGTTTGGCAAGTGGATCCGCCATATCCATGTCGGGATCGGGAGCTGGAAATGTGAGGAGGGGACATCTCCGCACGGGATCGCCACGGTGGTGTGTAGACGAGGCGGGTGTTCTTCGTCGACCATCGGGATCGGGTTGGAAGACCGACCACCGCGCCAGGTTGTCTAATCTCTCGACTTCGGGAATCTTCAGGGAAGGTACGCTGCACGTGGTATGTCATCTCCCGCCATCTCTGCCTCTTTAGTTTTCCTTTTCTGTCTGTTCTGTTTTTCTTTCTTGTTTTTTTTTTTGTGTTGAAGGAAAAAAATGGATTTGAGTCTCCCGCCATTCTTAAGTTTTCTAGTTTTTTTTTTTTTAATTTCTTTGTGGAGGATGTAGTTTGAACTACGACATTGTTCAGAACATGTCTAAAACAATACCTTACCTTATCCCAAGAGGCTCGACTCTTGCAAGAGCCGACGAAGGCCTCTAGCGAGCCTCTGTAGAAGGAAAATGGATTTGAGTCTCCCGCCATTTTGAAGGGTTTTTTTTTTTTTTTTTTGTTGAAGGAAAATGGATTTGAGTGAGTCTCCCGCCATCTCGCGAGGGCGGGGGGTAGGGATGCGCGTGCCGAGACAGGCACATGCTGGTTGTTTTTTTTTTTTTTTTTGGGGGGGGGGGGGATTAAGAGCTTCCTTTGAAAATGCGAATCGGAAAGCAGGTGTCATCTTCTTCACTGCTTGTCGTTTTTCTCTAGGGCGAGGCTCCTCTATTTTGGAAACAGCCTCCTGAGGATGACAGCAGCGCAAACGCTCGAAACACGGCGTCGTTGCGCAATGTGCGCAGTTCTGATTGTTGTAGATGCGAATTTGGAACGAAAAGCTTGAGAAGCATGTACTGAAAGCAGTTTGTCACTATTCTTCCTCTTCGTCGTCGTCTTCCCTCTCTTCCTCTCTTCTTCTTCTTCTTCTTCTTCTTCTCCTCTTCTTCTTCTTCTTCCTCCTGCGTGTCACTGAGACTTGGCCTGTCTTCTTCTTCTTCTTCTTCTTCTTGGTCTTGTCTTCTTCTTCTTCTTCTTCTTCTTCTTCTTGGTCTTGTTTTTTTCTTCTTCTTCTTCTTCTTCTTCTTCTTCTTCTTGTTCTTCTTGTTCTTGTTCTTCTTCTTCTCGGTCTTCCTTCTTCTTCTCGGTTTTCCTTCTTCTTCTTCTTCTTCTTCTTCTTCTTCTCGGTCTTCCTTCTTCTTCTCCTTATGTTTTCTTCTTCTTCTTCTTCTTCTTCTTCTTCTTCTTCTTCTTCTTCTTCTTCTTCGTGCGTGTCACTGAAACTTGGCCCGTCTTCTTCTTCTTCTTCCTGCTTTTTTTTTGTGTAATTTTGAGAGGCGGCATGCATGGAAGGCAGCTCTGGCGACTGCTTATATCATTTCTTCTTCGTCTTCTTCTTCCTGCGTGTTACTGGCGACTTGGACATGCAGTTTTTTTTTTGTGTAATTTTGAGAAGCATGTGTGGAAGGCAGCTTTGGCCACTTCAACATTCTTCTTCTTCTTCTTCTTCTTCTTCTTCAAACTGGTTTCGTCAATCTTTTAATGCGAATGGAAAAACAGGTGTCATCTTTACTTCGTGTCCTTCTTCTTCTTCTTCTTCTTCTTCTTCTTCTTCTTCTCCTCCTATTCCTTCTTTTTCTTCTTGCTGTGTATTGAAGAGCATTCGAAGCGTGTACGTAAGGCAGTCGGCCACTGTTTCCACTATTCCACTATTCTTCTTCTTCGTAGAGAGCGTGTGGAGCATTGGATTCAATTCTTACCTGCGTAGCAACCTGCAGTGAGGTCGTACTTTGTGTGGTGGCTGCGTCGACGCCTGTGTTGTGTGTGTGTGACTGGGTACGGGTCGGGGTTAAGTGGTCATCTTGGGGCTTAACTTTTACCCCAGTCCACTTAGCCGTTTGGTTGAGTGTTTGCCACCTGACCGAGAGGGCGTGTGTTCGAATCTTAGGATCAGCACGAGAAGCTTTGGATTCAATTCAAATCAATTCTTCTTCTTCTTCTTGGCTTCTTTGGGTCTTCCCTGCCTCATTCCCTTCCCGCTTGCTTTCTCTTTCCCCCCCCGCCGCCACCTTCCCCCCCTCTCCCCCCGCGGATTGGTTTGCGCCCCGTGGTAAAAGGAGAACGGCATGATCATCGCGCACGAGAAAGTTTTGCAATATGAATATAAAAATCGACTTCTTTGGGTTTTTCTGAATGCCGAATTTTTATATTGCCGAAAAAAGAGCGTCATCGTAACCGCTCTGTCTGTCTCTCTGTGGATATAATCACACGCGGCATTATTTATTTATTTTAATTGTAATTCATTTTTTTTTTTATATACGCGGCATTGTCACTGTGCGTCTGATCGGGGTCAGGTTCGTGGCCATAACGTCCGCATATGTTTCTTGGGATTTTTTTTTTTTTTTTT